TAAAACTTAATTTCTAAAAAACTGGGACCCTTAATTATAATTATGGCTTTGACATTCCCTAGTTCTCAAAATTATCTTTCTTTCAACACAAAACTAATGAAAATCCATCGTCTGGTTGATTCAGAATCGTGAAAAAATCCCATTTACGTTTTAATAATATATATGATAGTTTGGACAGGTTTCAACCCTTCCGAGGCGTAATACATTTACACAGTTTATATGTAGACTACATTATAACTCATAAAATAGTTCTACAATTAAATGGATCTCCTTTTACAAACGTATATAATAACCAGAAATTTTCAGATCGTCCTTGCGTGTATTTTATGCCACAAATTTTGACGAAAGGCTTTTCATTACATAAACTATACCTATTTACAGTGTTGACCAAACAGTTGGCAAGAAGCATTAATAGATAAGCTATGTACCAAATATGATAATTTTAGCTCTATTCTAATTATGACAAAACACGAAGTAACTAAAAGCGAGTTTTGTTGGTGTAGTAAGCGTTGCAGGAGGTCTACTTTACACTGAATCGAATCGACGTTTTGTTTTATTGCTTTTGATCTTCCGGCACTGTTGACTCAGCGAAACTGAACTTGTATTTTACCTTATTTCGTTATATTAAAACTGCTGTTGCATTAGGTCAAATTCCCAATAAGTCAATTGCTTTAACATAGACTACGTTTTTAGCTCGGGCTGTACTATTTGACTTACTGGAACTTTTGATCTACAGACACTGCAAACATTGTAGTTTTTGACCTAGCGGCACAGGTATAAATTATTTGATCTTCCGGGACTGTTGACTTTCAGCAACATTCCCGTGTGTTAGTATCTGTGGAGACGATACAGGCCACGATGAATTGTTATCCAAGCGTACCAACTAACAATTAAGATATGGTAATTTTCATAATTCCCATAAGATTACATAGTTTTTTTTATAACTATCCCACCACCACTTAAGATAATTTAATGATTAAGAATACTAAATTGCATATATTTTTTAAGGATTTACAACATGGGTATAGCACAGACTAGGGATAAAAAGTTTTGTTCCCTATAGTGACCAAAGTTGAAATAAGTTATTTACTACTAACAACTTAAGACAGATTTTTACCTATTTTCAACCCCATACAACACGTTTGCTGTATATTATTTGTCTTAAATCATGAATAGTTTATAGATAATACATACAGTTTCAAAGGTTTGTACCAAATTCGGTCTAAATTGGAGGTTCAGAAGAAAATTTACAGGGAAAATAGTAAGGTTTATTATTTTTTTAATTTTTGGACGCCATATTGGAAAAACCCAATTTCCAAGACTCCGATTTTATTAGACTTTTAGTATGTTATTTAACATACTTATTGGAAATGAAAACCATCAAAAAACCTTTTAGAGCAATTTTTTTAAGGTTAAGGGTGTTTTTTTCATATCTTGACTAGACTAATATATTTCACCAGAGAACAGTTACATGCCCATATAAGTAGATATCTATTATATATTATGTTTCAGTGATAAATGTAGAATATAATAATATAAAAATATATATTTTTCAGCAATGCGTTTAGGCGTAGTAGCAAGAGGTTTGCAAATTTTTGGATTATTCAAATTAGAAATGTCTAAATCAACCCGCAAAAATCATAAAAATAATGTTTTCATCCATATTATCCAAATGTTAAGGTTGTGTAAAATATGATTCCTTACGTAGAAATATCAATTTTTTTTTTAAATACGCATAAAAATAAAATTATAAAAAAACTACTAAACTATTTTAATTACCGAATTGTATTTAATTGTTGTATGAGAAATAAATTTATTGCATAAACAGTAAATAAATATTATACTGCTGTAACAATTTAGTATTTTCACAAAAATGTTCAATAGAATAATTTAATTTTTACCATATGTTTTTATTTTTATCAATATGTCAGTCCATCTCTCTTTATCAAACCTTGTATAATATATGGCCAAACAGACCAATAGGTAATTGATTCAATACATTATAATATATAACATTTTCAAATAACCTTATTTCATGTAAATATATAATAACCTATAACTTTTTGTAACAAAGTTGCTTCAAATTCAATATATTTTTACTTAAATAACTTGTCAAAATTCAAGTTTAGCTTTATGGCAAATGAAAATTGTTATAGGTAATATATGTGTGAACAGTGGCCTACAATTTTCGGTGATAAAGTCAGCATTGACATATGTGAATGATACAATGCATCAAACCTTCCTCACTTCTAAGAGTGCTGAGCTAGTATGAAGATATAAATTGTAAACTGCATATTTTAATATAAAAATGTATAAAAAAGTGCATATATTTGGAATAAATTAGTGAAATTTGATTAAAGAAGATCCGCCCTTGTTACAAACATTAATAACTACACAACATCAAGAAATTTAACTGTGAAGAAGACATCAATTTTGGTGAGATCACTCCAGTAGACATTTTCTTTCCTTGGATCGAAACCATTACAACATTTTTAACCCTAACTTTTGAACTTTTGTACCAGAATTTAAAAGTCAAGAAACTAATAGAAGCTTATTCAGAACATAAATTAATTCAACCTTTCAGAAAATAATTCGAACATAATTTATATTTCAAAACAAAATTTAATTAGGCTATATATAATCACAAGATTAAATTCAAACACCGCTCGATCACCCCACCATAGATAAAGATCCATGCAATATAACCCCTCAACCTAAATTAGAACTATTGTAATAGGCCTAGCCTAAAGCTTAAATTAGTAAATTCATTTGCCACCCTTTGTAAACTTTTATTGTGAACCCTTAGCTTCTTTCTTTTTACCATCAATTTTGTATTGTAATGAAATAAATTTAAGTTTAGATACTGTAAATGGAGTTTCCATTGTATTCCTAGCTTGTATTTGTAGCCTTGTTACACTGCATAATTTAAGAGTAAAAGCTCTTTCAAAAAATGTATAGTTAAATGTAGTTGAAATCGAAATTTCCTGAGTGATTTACGTCAGAATGTGAAACGTTAAAATTTTTTACGAAAACATAATTTTTATGACCTTTTCAAAACTACATAAAATTGTTATAACCAACCTCAGATTTGGAGATATATAAATTGTAGGGAATTTATTGCAGTTTCAGATGGTGATGGAAACGATCCACCATCAAAATATATTTTGAACTCTCTTCTTTTACAAACTATATTTCTCGCTACATAATAGTCGCTCAATACTATTTTATATCCTATAAATGAATCCTCAGAATATCTATCTTTCTAAAAGTATAATATAAGTCTCAGCTTGAACTGTACTCGCCATTAATAGTTACGGCAGCAGGAACAATGACCGCGACGCGTTTTGCGCCTTTGTTTGTGTTATGTTTATTGGATCTGAGGATTGTATAGCTGTTAAGTTATGTACCGCAATAGTTTCATTATACAGAAGTACTATTTACCTATAGTGTACTACTCTCAAAAGTTGTCAATTAAAAAATTAGTGGTTCTAAACAACAACAAAAACCATTATACTCCTAATTATACTTATCGTAAATTTAAAAAATATAATTTTTAGTAACTTCTTGTCAATTTCCGTGAAAATACTACATAATCTATTTGTAGAATGCATTTTTCTGCACAGTTTGACATGTCTAACGTATTCATATGACTTTTGGTTCTCGAGATATAAGCTATTTCGTGCGCGGCGGCCCCCCGGGCGGCCCCCCAACTTCACCCCCTCCCCCCCATGTTATTAACCACCTAGAAATGCGACAACATCGATTTTCTTTATCTACTAGGTACCCATAGCAACAATCAAAAGTCAAATTTCGTTACACTTTTATGCATGCTCAAACCCCCTTAGCGCCTGGACTATAACCCATTTTAGAATTTGAGCATTACAAACCAGGGCTAAATCATGAATATTTGTAATTTTGTTTACAATATCAAAACATTTGGGTATAAACAACAAACAAAATGCAAAGTTTTCAATTTAATTTCAATATAACTTAAACCATACCACTAAGGGAACAGCTGTATAAGTTACTAGGCATACTTATTTACAGTATATTTATGATCAACAACAAAAGATGAGTATTTAAGAAAAGATATCACGTCAAACTATTACTATAAATTCGGAGGCGGCTTAGCTTTTTTGCAAACAACTTTAAATGGTAAGGAAATCGACTAAAGTGGAAGGTGATATTGTGAAATAGAATAAAATTTCTATATAAATTCTATAAATTCTTTTTTTTCACCATAAATCATAATAAAAACAAACTTTCATAATTATTTGTAAATCTACACGAATTAAGCTTTCCAACGACCCATTAATTAGGCCTAATAAAATCGGTCCAGAAGAACTCTAGATTTAGGTGTACAAATATTTTTAAAACTGCATTATATATATAATAGATTTCCTGCCTAACTTGTTATGTATTTCGGTTAGTATAACATTGATTTTTTGTAACATAGTAAAGTAGGCATACTTATTCAGCACGTTTACTTAAGTATATACAATGTTAAATTATTAATTGCAAACGTACAATAATTCCCTTAATAATCTCATGTTTATCACACAACGACTAAACTTTTCTAAATTACAGTATTTAGCTATGAGAAGAAAACTCATTTCATTTAAGCTCTAGCTCTAGGACGCAGAGTGAAGTGTTTGTGCACTGTATACTGTAGCGTTATAGCCTGTGGCGGGTGTGAGGAGAGGGAATCTCTCCCAGCCGGCTGAGTTGGCCAGTCGACCGACTGAGTTGCACGACATGGCAACCACGCTTAGTCGGTTTCGAGACTAGCGCCGCCTATGATCTAGTCGGTTTTTGGGCGGAAAATTGTTAACACATATTAGCATTGCGTGGGGTATCTGTGTCTATACTCCTGTTATCTATGGTAATAGGCTTAAGTCAATTTATAACTGATAGTTTTGAGTTTATTTGATAATTGTGCTTTAAAACTTTTGTGTTTTATTAAATTATATATTTAGATAAAAGAGACAACATTTGTTTACCTGCGGAGGGGGTCGAGCCGATCAGGATCTTCACTAGGGGAGGGCAATTTAAGGTACAGCAACATTTTTTGAATAATCGACAACTGACTTATTTTCTGAATTAAATCATCCACAACTGCTTTGCTGTCTGGCCTGAAAGTAAATAAACAGTATTTAGCAATCTGACACATACGGATTAGCTTGTCAACAACCCTTATCATGGAGTAGCCTAAGTATGATATTTCATGGGGAAAATCAAAAAGTTGCAATAACATGTTGTTAAGCGTTTAAAGTAGGCTATACTATAACATACCGTACTGAACTTAATCAAAACCAGTCAAGCCGCTTTTATAAATAAATCAGATTTTTCTATTATTTTACGGGTTTTTATGGGAAATTAACAAAAGTGTAATACTTTTGCACCCTAATTTTTACCACAATGTGGGTTGAACCATTCTGTTTAGTGTAAAAAGGAGTAGCCCCTACTAGTACATAGGCCTACTTTTTCCCACTTTCACTTCCTAGGATGCTAGGTTCTTGCGTGAAACTAGTTTACACATTAATTCAGGCTAGTCCTAAAGGGTTGCGGTATTATCACATCAGATAAAATCCATTGGTGATTGGCGGGATTTGAACCCAGGACCTCATTCAGGTCACAGGTAACTGATTAGAATAAAGAAGAAACGGTGTTTTTGGGTTAGAAAGTGGATACTGTACTTAAGTGATGGAGAGGAGCATAAATTGATTGACAGGCAACTAAGATTCAGTCACCTAGAGGATTTTAAAAATATAGATAGACCTAATAGAACATAAAAAATACCCCCGCCGCAGCAAACCTGCAGACTAAGCGAATTTCCATTTGCCTGATTGGATTTGAACTCAAATGTCTCCTTAAAAATATCACATTTATTCCCTATTTAAATACATTAGTTTAAAGAGTATGCCTACTTAGGTTTGCTGCAACAGGGAGGGTACAAAGGTGTTTTTTTGTAAAATGTAATAGTTTAGTATGAAATGAATGCATTTTCTAAATTTAATCAAAATATGTACATAAACAAGCAAACTACAACAGTTTACTTATTCTCCATAAGAATAACATGGAAATTTTAAATTTACAGATTTTTTGAATTTTCTCCGTAACCATTAGGTGCATAATAACGCTTCAATATACTAAATTATTTGTTTTTTTAAGCTCTACAAAATAGTTTAGAAAGAAATTGCTAAATTTTAAGTTTTTTGGGTCAAAAATGGGAAAAACCAATTTTTACCCCATAAAACCCCTGTTCCCATAGTCCAATCGTGCTGGTTTGCGAACTCGTTCGAATAAACATAGGTTTACACGTTTGTACCAAATTTCATCAAAATCGGATGATTTTTGCTCGAGTTATCGCGCTAACGGACACATATATAAATATATATATATATACGAATTTGAACGGATGGTGTTTTTGGTCTCTAGGGACCTCAAAACGAAAAAGTAAATCGGTCCCGGGTCCAGGTCTTACCATGAGTACTACGGTAATAGCTTATTCCCTATATGGGAAATTCACTAAAACAGCCAGGAATGAAAAAAGCTGTTCACGACTGACTATTAAACCTGTTTAATCCGAAGCTTGGCCGTTCGTGGAACTCTCCTCACACCTGGTGACGTCAGAGGAAACTTACTACATGCCGTTCCCACGGAGCGTGTTCCACGAATGTGTGGTTCACGCTGACATCCCATGCCTTGTGGGAAGGGGGCTTAACATATGACCTCGCTCCTAGTGACTTTCAATAGTTTCCCCAATTTAAATTTTGTTAGCAGCTCACTGCTTTGATGACGATGAGGAGCTCCAGTTCCATGTGGACTGAGCGATCACAGTCGGCGGCAGAATTCTACAAGAAAGGAATTTAAAAGCTTGTCCACCGCTATGATAAGTGTGACTCAATTCTCTTTTGGGGACTATGTAGAAAAGTAGCATTTTTGTTGCTCTTTCAAATGTATACAGCTATGTTTTTTTCGTATACAAACTTTTTACTTCATTCCAAAACGTCCCTTACTTTCTAAAGAGCTCTTGTAAAAAATAACTAGTCAAAAGGTCATCCATTTAGGTTTTAGATTATTTGAACATGAAAAAATATCTTTATTTTTTGTTTTTATTTGAAGAGTTTTTTAAAGTCTGAGATTTAATTTTAAAACATTTAAAATTTTAAAGTAATAGCCTACGACATTTTCTAATAAATCTACCTACCTCATAGAATTTATCAAATTTTCTTCCAAGCTATTATTGTGAGCAGGATTAGCATTGTCTTCTAAAATGTCTTTTAAGTTTTTGAAGATATTTCTGTTTTGGGAAGATTCATCTTTTTCTCCTGAAGCAGACTGAAATGAATTTTCCTGACTTTTTTTCCACAAACTACTTTTGACTTGAAAATCATTTTTATATTTTTGCTCTATCAATCCGCCATCAATCTCCTCTAGCTTTATTTCTAAATTGTTAATGGAATCTGATGTTAAAACGGAGCCATTGGTTGGACATGAGTCCATTTTATGTTTCATTAGAATGGCATGGTAAACATTGGCGTATTTGATCTTTGGCAGCAGTTGTAGCAGACATACACATAGTTATCCATCTGAAAAACAAAAAGTAACGAAACAAGTATTATCACAGGTGTAAAAATTGAAAACAAAATTGGCAAGACTGTGGGAAAAACTAGTTTAAGTTAACTGTTCTCTATTTTTTCAAAATTTAAAAAAAAACATTATTATAGTGGGCCTTAATATTGCAAGGCCTAACTTTGCCTAACTTACTTTAGATGAATTTTGAAATAAATGAAAAAAGACAGGTTTAATCCCTTAAATGTTTGTGAGTAAAAAATTAGCTAAAGTACAGGACATAGCCTGCCAGAAAAAATATGATGGTGTGTAGGCTACAAAATTGTTAAAGGCATTCTTTTTTAAAGAAGTAATGAGAACGTTTGCATTACCTACTCAATTGATGAATGACAACAGATTTTAATGAACTAGAACAAAAGCTATCGTATTAAAATAACGTAAGCCTACATCATAATTTCATGTGGACTGAGTGAGATCCTAATTTGTAAGAGGCCCGTTGCTTTGAAAGAAGAACTGTTGAATGAATCAAGCAAGTATTTATTTAAGCCTAAGTTTTGAGGGTGCATCCTCAGAGCCATACTTGCACCGGAATATGAGAAACTGAGATTGTTGCCCATAATGTTAAAGTTGAAATTAAAGCTCCTGAAAAGCTTGTGCTAACTATTGGGACATAGAGGAGTTCTATAAACAAGAGTCATAAGTTATGGTGATACCCACATAGCACAGAATATTTATTTGATATCAAATAAACGTTCAATATATCAAACTATGTCAAATCAAAAATTTGATATTTATTTGATATTCATTTAATGTTCAAAATGTCAAAGTCAAACAATGTCAAACTTTGAATATTTATTGTATCTTCAAAATATCAAAGTCAAATAACATCAAATTTAGAATATTATCTAAATATGCTTAATGTTAAAAATTTTTATTTTCTCTTTGAAAATTTCCAAATATACTAGTTTTAAAAATTTTTAGATTTAACTTTTTTAATTTTTTAGAGTAAAGAATTAGTCTCCAGCCTACAGGGGCCCATTTCATAATAAACTACAAGTTACAAGTTACAACTTGTAACTTGTTATTTCCATTAGATTTGCATTGGGCAATCAGCTGATTTACTAATAATATTAGTTTGTACTTTATTATGAAATGGGCCCCAGTTTGTAACATGGAGGTCGGAGGTCAATTATCTCAAAATAATTAATAATAGGAAGGAACACTGAACACTGTAATTTTTAATTAATTGATGATGGATTTTGACTTTTCGCGGGGGGGGGGGGGGAGTTGTTGGAACATCTGATATTTTTCTGAATCTAGGCTTACTACACATTTCAAGAAGAGTGAATAGGAAACACAGCTTTTTTAAAAGTTTTGTTTATTAATAAAAAAGTCAAACCTTAACGATTGGCCTTATCATTTTATTTTTACTAGTGTAAATTAAACCAAACGTAAATTTAAATTTTTTTAAGTGTAATATAACTCTAAAAATATGTTAAGTATCTAGTTTGAGCTTGACTTGGCCCATTCATATGAAAGGAAGAGGGGAAGACTGAAGACGAAGACAAAACACCAACTTAATTCTAACCTAACTCAGCAAACAAAACAAAACATTACAATACAAAACAAATTACAAAATCCGTCGCGCGACCACTGGTGGCCAGTTTACTCACGGTGTGGATGTATTTATTTATTAACCAACAAATTGCCCATTTTGAGGGAAAGTACACGATTTATGTAAAATGTACCTATGACAACTAACTTGTTGAGTAGGCTAACACAAGTAGTGAAAATAAACAATGGAAGCAACAAGAACAAGAGTTTCAAGATTCAAGAACAAGACATAACCTCAAATCAGTTAACTTAAGTGTGCTGATATTTTGTTTAGTGTGTGTCACTGTTAGTTTAGAGTTGTTATTTTTGTGACTGGGTATTGGCATAACCTACACCGATCATCTTTTCACGTTTTGATCCTTGGAGTATGTAAGTATAAGTCACTATACCTAGTAACATAGACGTATTTTAGGCCTTGGCCTTACCTAGACCTAAGTTAAGCTACTGTACAAATTAAATTGGCCAACTTATCATTCCTAATGCCTTAACTTAAGTATAAATAGATAAATCTGAAACCTCAAAATAGGCTATCTGTTTTAGAGGAAGTATTTTTCTGCATACTAATTAGGCCTAGGCGTAAGCTACTAAGTTAGGCGGCTTGCTTAGTTCTTACTGAACCAGTAGTTTATTTAGCTTCAAAGGGCAACTTCCGGATGAAAGTAGTGTTCAATATATAGGCTAGTAAGTAGGACTAACTTACTGGTTTACAAGGCAAATGGAATACCATACTGTGTTGTAATACCTTGTTAGGCTAATTTTGAAATATTACTAAGTTATGTGGGTTATATTTTACGTCAGTCACTAACTTAAGTTTATGTAAATTCACCATCAAGAATAAGTTAACTTAATTTAGGCTAGCCTAGGCCTAACATATTCTACCTCAACCAGGTTACAATTTACCGGTATTATAAAAGAAATAGCCTAGCCTATTTGAAATCCATTTTCCTTTATAACTGAATTGGGGTACACTTCCGTATCTGTTGTCAAAAACAACTGAATGAACATAGGCTATAACGATCGATATTTTCATTTGGTTGTTTTTGACAACAGATACGAAAGTCTACCCCTGTATTGTCTCTTAGTCTTTTGTATTTTAGTTGTTGTCTGCTTCCTTTACCAACCAATGATTAGGCCTAACTAATCTTGATACATATTTAGGCCAGAGAAAGGTATGCATGAATTTAACTAAAAGTAGTTTTCTCTCCATTGTTTCAGTTGATAACTCTGCAGCTTTGGTGGAAGTTATTATTTGGTAGCAGTGAATAATTTGCCTACGGTACCAATTCTCCCGAGTGACAAAGTGGCTGTCTAGCAGCCTGTAGGCTGGGAAGGAGGAATAAATTTTTCTTTTGCAATCTGCATCTGAAGCCAGCTATCTTGCGTAAGTTTTTTTTTTTATTTACAATCAGACATTAATAATAGGTAGACATACATATATTTCAATTAGGTTTTCTCAAAGTTAAAATAAGTTAAAATAAAGTTTCAATCTTAGGTGTTGTTATTTCAATTTTTCTGTTTGTTTCGCCATGACTGTGTATGTCTTTTTTGCCATAACGGGTACAGTTCCGCAGAGAACCTGCGATATATTATCGGATGAATAACATTATATATCAATAATTATCCGATTCAATACATCTTTCCCTATGTTTTTTCACTATGTAAACATCAAATTGAGTTATGATTTGCAGATTTGGTGAATTGGTTTTGCAATATTAATATCAAATCAGATATATATATACCGTCCGATAATATATCGCAGGTTCTCTTAGGAACTGTATAGATAAGTTAGGCTCTACCACCAAAACACAACCTAATTCATGATATGTACTTGATAATATACATGATAATAATACATACATAATACATGATAGGTATTGGGTAATAACGTAGCCTAAGGTTCATCACACAGTTAAGAGAGTTTCTCTTTTTTGTGACCCACTTATATAGGAAGTCTTTGATTTACACTAGGCTATATAAATATTCCGGCAGTGCTAACTTGTGTAAAAGAAAACTGTATTAGTTGAATTTTTTTAAACGCACACATAGGCCTATACACACACCAAACTACATCCGACCGTTGCACTCATTTCAGTCAGTGCTCACCCCAATATTTGTCCGTTCAAGTGACTGAGGATTACTTTTACCACTACCTAAGTCAAAATTTTCAATTTTCAGATTTAGATTTAGCTTTAACAAGGCTACTCAAAAGAAGCAAATGCCATCAAAATATAAAATAGATTTCACTAACAATTTAATATGTGTACCTAGTTGTAGGCTATCCTGGGTGTTGATCAGGAAAATTAAAATATATACAAATTCTAGTGCTAATACTAATCTCTTTTATACAGAGGCAGAACCGGTACGCAAGAACACTAGGATCGTGGTGTAATGGAAATATATGTTGTTGCTACTATAATCAAGAATTGGCTTCGCCCAGCAAAGTTTAGGATTGATGCAAGGTAAATTTATTGTGTTATTTATAATTTAGGTTAAAGAAAAGATTGCTTGTCTAATTACCTAATATAGAACTTAAATTTTATTATAATTAACAGATTAGGCTGACATCTAACTACTGTGATGTTTTCTTTTCAAATTGTGAATTTTCAGTGACAGGCTATGCAAATGAGCAAAACTTAATCTGCGGTTTTATCCATCTCTTTTTTCTTTATTGTCAAGAACCCAATGCCTTATCGACAAATTTAATTATAAAGTACAGGTATAGTAAAAAAATAGGTCTTAAAAATGCCTAACGAAGGGGTCTCCAACCTACAGCCTGTGGGCTACATCCGGCCCTCGTGCAGTTTTATTCCAGCCAGCAGAAAGCCAGCATACGTTTTTGAAAATTATTATTTTTTATAGCAAACACCAATTATATTCTCCCACGATTGCGTAAACACGTGTGGTCAGGTGGTCTCAGCTATATCGTGATCATCTCCCGTGATCTCGCCAAGACTCACGAGCATATTATACTGCAGTCTCGACGGTGCCGTGATTGTCTTTTGCAATCCCAGCAACACCCTTCATTGTTGACCGTGATTTCCTTGAGGTGTAAAAAGAGAACTTTGTCAATGAATGCAGGCTCAGCCATGGGATATTTATTTACCTCGCGGCTCATACCATAATTAAGAGCAATTAACTGTCTCTTCCCCATTCAACAAAATTTGTGTACAATACCCTGTCTCCAAGTTGGCAGGTTAACATATTTAAATAGGAACATAGTAAATGTCTCTCACTTGCTAATTTTTTCTCAATAGGCCTAGGGGAATATTAGTAGTAGTCAAGTAGCGGCAGATTAATTTAAATATATATATTTTTAATTGATCCTAATTGGCAGAACTACAAATTGAAATCTTAAACTAGCTGACATTTTAAGTGTCAAATTTTATAGCCTATTCTCACTAAAAAATCATTCAACTTTTTGTCAAAGATTTAGCTTAGAATGTGATTACTTCTTAATTGCACATCTTTCGTTAGAATTAGAGGCATTTATAATTTTATTTTATGAACAGAACTATATTTTAGATTATTAAAAAAGGAAACTATGTAGTTTATTTGTTTATGGATAGATTTTGATAAAATTTGGCAAACTTATTTACTTTATCCTATACTATTGACGTATGCTCAAAAAAACTTTTTACCTTCTCCATGGCTGCAAACCTAACCTTGTTAAATCTAATCTTCATTCAATTTTTATCTTGTATATTTTGTTTATATTATCAGCAAGTTAGGTTAGCTTATGACAGTTTAATTTTATAATAAAATGCTCTCATTTTGTCCGTAGTAAACCTTAATTCAATTTTTTCACAATCAGCAAGTTTGGTTAATTTGGTTAGGTTACGACATTTTAATTTTATAATAGAATGCTCTCATTTCGTCCGTATCACAAAAAGCCTTTACCTTGTGACAAACGACAACTACAATCGCATCGATAGTAGATGATGTTGTGATTCGATAGAGTAGCGAACAATTGACGTTAGTCGCTAAATCGGTGGCGTTTTTAGACAAAAAAGTACTCACCGAGGAAAAAGGGTTGGAGACCCCTTGTCTAACATATTATATTTTATCTATAGCTGTCTTAGAAAATAACTCTGTTGAACCTCTTTTACAGGAACAATAGAAAACTCAAGAAGGCCATTTGGGAGATGAAGAAGAACAGAATTATTTTTTTTGTAAATTATACATATCTTTTTTATATTTGTGTTTAAATAATTTTTAATTAAACTTATTTTATCATACAAACAAAGTTTTTTCTTTAAAATGTTTTCCTTGAATGCAATTTTGTTTTAAACAAATATGTTTTGTGATACTTTTGTTAATGTTTTGTCAAATAAGAAATATATATATATATTTACATTTTTGGGTCACCCAAGAACTTTAACAAACTACCTATAACTTCAGAATAATAAGTCAAATCAAGGTAAGAACAGTAAAGAAGTCTGAACTGATATTATTTTAATCGCCATGAAATTTGAAATGTGAAAAAATGCAACCTAATTATTCTAAACATATTTTACCAATAAATGAATGAGACATTTATTTGATATTCAATTTAATATTTATTTAATGTCAAATTAAGTGAGGTTGAACCTAAATTGACCATTTATTTTATATCAAATGAATGTTCGCGAATATTAATTTAATATTCGAATGTCAAAAATGTTATATCAATATTTATCACCATCATATTTAAAATGTGAATGTAAATTCAATCATATTCTCTTTATTATATTTTACCAATAAATTTATGAATGTCAAATTTGATATTTATTTTATATTCAATTTGAATATTTATTTGATGTAAAATTGAGTGACGTTTGAACCTAAATTGAACGTTTATTTGATATCAAACGAATGTTCGTGAATATCAATTTGATATTCAAATGTCAAAAATTTGATAGCTATTTGATATCAAATAAATATTCGGTGCTATGTGGGTATATTTCTTTAACTTCCAATAAATGTAGGCTATACATCAAACGAAAAATTAAAATCTCCAGCTAATAGATACCAATTAGGTACGTAATTTGAATGGAAGCCCATTAATTAAACTTGATAAATAAATAATTAAAAAACAATAAATTAATATTTGGCCTTCCATTGTCTACAAATCAGCCTCTAATTGTAAAAACGTGCCTATAAAAATGCTTACAGATATTGTCTTAATGAGTATGCAAGCAGAACAGGAAACTGAAACGAACACCGGCCAATTCTTTTATTATAATAATAATTAATTCTAGTGAACCTAGGATATTAAAAAATATTTGTCATTAATCGATTTCTTTTATGGTATTACTTATAGTCCTCATAGTTGTTTGGTATGATTAACAGTGAGGTTAACTTCATTGTTAGAACAAAAGTTAAACGAAGTAAGAAACAAAATGATTATTAACATACCCTGACCCAATGTCTTTCCATTCAAAACCAAAACCCTGACAATCTTGACAACCAGCTAGACCAGCCATCGACCATCTTGGCCAAAACCACCAGATGATTTGAAAAAAATCACTAGCCGAACAGATAGGCAGGCATAACTCTGAAACCCCGTAGCTGTGCGATACCTCAGCTTTAAATCTCTGTATCTAAAAACATTTTCATCTCATAACGTCTACAATCAAACTTTCTCTTGATAACAAGAATGAGGATATTAATTTTCCTTAGCGTTACAATGCAATTGGCCTCATCAAAACTAAAGCTATAAACCTATATTAAAACACAGAAATACATAGAAATCAAAATTAGCTATAATCAGAGCAAAAAAAAAAACATTAGTAAGCAAAGAAAACCAAACTATTATTTACAATAGTTTAGTTTATTTTTTTACAACAAGTTTAGTTGTCGGTACAATTAAACCGACTAACGAGAACGGCATAACAACTTTATAACTCAACTTACAATAGAGTTCGAAATTTTATAAAAGTCATCAATAACCAACAACAGTTCATTAGCACAATATTTTAAATCCTTTTGGTCCCAGTTCCGAGCGACATCGGATAAGTGGTTAAAACTAATTTTGTGACATGTCTGTATATAATTTTCAGCTTTACATAAAGTGGACCGATCTTGTTTTCATTTCGGGTGTTGTGTTTTATACATAGTCAATGGTTTTATGTAGCTCCTACAATATGTTTCCCCTTGTTTTTTTTGTTCTGAGACAAACTTAGGAAACACATACACCATACCATAGCTTAAATCTTAAATTAAAGAATTGCCTTCACTTACATAGGATATAGTATCCTAATCAGGGGTGGCTCCCTCCAGCAAGGATTCTCGGAGGGGGCCATTGCTTCCAGCAGTCGAGGTGTTATCATCTTTCCCAGCGATTGAAGACAAATCCTAAACATTACCCGCGATCAAGGGAACATCATTATCACCACGAACGATCGCGGCGTTTATTATACAACTAGTGCACTTGTTGCTCGAATTCGAGCAATTGCAAAGTATTACAGGCGTTAATTTCAAAACGAATAACAGTCATGATTTCCGATGACTTAAAGGAGTCAACTCAAAGATAATAATGTAATCATTAATCAATCACTCCACTCCAGTTATCGAAACTGAAAACGAACGCTCGTGTGTACCGCGTGTGTATCATGAGTTTACTATGAACAGCTGTTTTACTATGCAATTAATACAAATTAGGCTACTTGTCTGTTTAAGTAAACGAAAACTTTTAATCATAAAAAAAGTACATTGGGATTTTGAAGGCCTGTAGGGCAAAGCCCGAGGACTTTTACTACAGGAATTGGTGTAAGGGGACGTCTACACAAAAAATACTTTATTTTGACACATCGTTTGTAAAAATCCGTATAAGGTATAAAAATGTATAAGGTGCGAGTACCATGCCTCACTTTAAGTTTAAGTTTCCTCAAAAGTTTCACTCGCTTAGCTTAGTGAAGAGGTGTTAGGTTAATGAGACATAAAGACTGCTTATGGGTGTTTCTCAACGTGTAATGAACAAAAATTAAATTTAAAAGAACAACAGCAAAAGAAATCTTTGAAAAGGCAAAAAACAACAATAATAAGATAAATTAATTTACAATGTTAAATTTACAAGAAAAGAAAATCAATTGAAAATATAAAAGAATTATGACTTGTATGTTTGACAAAACTTTAGTTATATATTTTATTCTTTTTACGTTTATTGTCCCAGAAGCACACGCACCGATACACGCACTCCCAAACTCCTGATCTTCTTGGTCCGGTGGCCCGTGGTGATCTCCTCGATTGTCCTCTCCAGGTCCTCCAGCTCCGAGACTCCTGACCCCTCCATCTTCTTCATTAGGCCTTCTCATTGGCTGATTACCAATAGGGTGTGTGGCTTATAGGTTGACGATGTTGGAAGTCAGTCCTACCGGTCATCGCCTAGCTCACATCAGCTGGGAAAGGAATTTGTAAATCGATGCTCATGATACTGTTCAACTCTGTTCACACCAACTGGTCGACTAAGTGTAATGTGAACAGAGTGTCTGCATAGATGAGCACCGTGGGTACGGGGTTAATCCCCTATCTTACAAAGGATACCACAACCCCGCGGTCCTAAACCACGGCATAGTCGTAAATCCAACACTGTCTACCACCACTCATAATTCAGAAACATTTAATATTGATTGAAGGTTTACATTTGGATTTCAGGCTTCGAGTATTAATTACTGTAATTGTAATATAAATGCAATAGCAAATTAACATTAAGCTTTGTGCCATCACATTTTTAAGGTCATTATCAGTAATATTAATTATCAGTAATTATCAGTAACTGATCCTTATCAAAATCAGATCCCGGTATCAGTAACCTCACTACCTACACAGTCAAGCGTCAATTTTCTGAAGACCGGTTATCCGAAACGTGGCCGAAAAAGCCGATTACCTGCGTTGACGCGATAGCGAGAGACGACCAGCGGTGACGCTGAGACCACAGAATATGGTCACGCGGATGTTGCTACAGTACAATTGCAGGAGAAAATCAAACTACAGTAGTGAAAAATACTTGTAAACATGAAAAAATACAATGTTATCTTGCCTACATACATACAAAGATCCGTCTACGGGTGCATCTGTGAAAGCAGTTTGACAATAGTCTTACAGCAAAATATATCGCTTTCAAGTATTGTAATTTGTAATAATTAATTGTAAATCAAAATCAAATAAACTTATGGGGACCGGGGACCAGAATGTCGAGCTGAGCTAGATACTCGATACTGGAAACATTGGGAGTTGTAGTAGAATTTGGAAGACAGGAAGACTGGACAAAAGCTAGTTAATTGTATGTAGACTACGTAAATTTTGATTAGGACCGAGAAATTTACTATATATTTTTTTTAATATAATTTGGAAGAATCACCTCCAATAGCCTATGGCCAAGTGTATGGTCCATTTATTACCATAGAGCACATGAATATTTTATGTGCTATGTTCATTACCGAAAGGAAAATCGCGATCGCGGGTAATACAAAACTGTTGCTGTGATCGCTACAGTTGCTCACGGGATGTTCCCGTGACCTCTTTTCTAATGACGATTTCGAGTTTTTGCCTAAGACACACCACTTATATACCTAATGTACTAAGAAAAAATTAATGTAACAACTTTAACAACCGCCGCGCGCGCAATTCGTCCGATGCTGCCGTGCATTAATCGTTTGTCGCCATCGTCAAAACGTGGGCGCTTATATAGGCCCCTGTCCTGTTGGTATAGAACTCTTGGTATCGTACTCACATTTTAACGTTGATTGTTGATATAGATACTTGTCTTAAAAATCGATGGTGCCGAGATTTTCCTTTAGGTATCAACACAAAGCTAATTATAATATTAATAAATGGTTATGAAATACGTTTTTAGAAAATTTTCTCCTGCTCTCGGGAGCCTCCCCTGATCTTAATACCTCCAGCTCGTCTTTGACCAGAATTTCTTGATAGACTGTCAAGGTTAAAATACTAATACACTATTTACAATGGTTGATGCAAGATGGCTTGAGCCTGTACTCGGTGCAACGTATCAAAGTATTCATCGCCCTAATACAGTAGTCGGTCTACAAGCCAGGCTTTGACTGTTTTTTTTTTTTTTGTTTTTTTTTTGGAAAGCGGATGGTTCACAAGTCTTAAATCGTTGGGGGAGATCAGGTCTTTAGAGCCCCAATTCGGAAACAGCCTGCAGTAGGGTATGTAGAGCTGGCCCCTGTTACAAAGGTTGTGGAAGTGGTACAAAAAAAGTAAATTTATAATTCCTATAATTCTTATTGAGGGTAAATAAACTGTTATAGTTTGCTTGTATAGGGATATATTTTGATCAAATTTGTTTATTTTTATCTTAAGTTTACAGTACTGTATTAACATTTCAATAAATAAAAAAACAAACCTTATTACCTTCCTTGTACTAGCATACCTATATACGCCGACACAATAATATTAATGTTGCATTTGAATAGAAAATTAATCTTACAATTTTAACGGGATATTTTAGTGAAAACCCAACCAGGTTATTGAAAATTCACTTAGTCTACAGGTCTGCTGTGGGGGGTTATTTTTATATGTTCGCTTTTGGATGGGTATTATTATATTATATGGTCTGCTGACCTAATGTAAATTACTAGTGTAATTGTAAAAAAAAAACTAATATATGAACTGTCCTCCTGATGATGCGACAAGTGGCAAAATGTTCATCGAGCTTCGTATTATAAACTTATAGAACCTGGAAACCACGTAAGATGAGCTTATATTGCACAGACTATATGAGAAAGTATTTTATAGGATCAAATGAATCATATAAATACACAAATATAACAATAAAGTTTAATAAATAATTCAACAATGTGTCACATATCAGTCTTATTTTGAGTATGGCTCCCTAAGACTATTTCTATTGACAATTAACCTGTCAATTATATTGATGTAGTGTGATGCTGTAAATAAATAAAATAAGTTTCTCTCTCGGGGGATACAAATATATTTTAATATTTGAAGATGCTGCAAACACTTCATAAAACCTTCTTAACTAAATACACCACATAGTGTTTCAAATAAAAGCTAGAAATAACCAATCAATATGTGTCAGATCTTATCTTAAAATTACTCGCCTATCTATCAAAAGTTTAAAGTCTACAACATTTTCAATATTCATTTGACATCACAACATTGGCACAACATGGCGAATCCCAATCTTGAAGAGTTAGTTTGCAGGTTTGCTGCACGGGAGTATTTTTTTAAAAATATGGATTCAGTTTCCTTAATTTTTTACTGTTATTGGCATGTAAAAATATAAGAAAAATTTAGAGATTTAAGTTTTCCTTGAATTCAGATGAGGTTCCCTTAAGTTTGTATATGTCAATAATATTTTATTTAATAGGCACTTGAATCACATTTGGAAACTTAATTTCAAACCTACGTTGGCATAAAACCAATGATCTACTTTTTCAACGTATTATTCAAACTCTTCGAGACTGGGAAGAAACAAATAACAAATCTGCCTAATTTATCAGAGCAAATTTATAATCACATCCACACATCGGTGGGTCTTTGGTGATGATTCTCGCTGACATCATGGACTGACTTCAACCCTCAGGCAAGACATGGTCTGGTCCAGTGAGAACTTCTACTCCTGAGCGAGTGATCAGGACCGTATGCTCCCACTGAGCCGCACGAGACCCGTCCATGGTGACCGACGTCCAGCCATCTGATAACACTGTCATCCGACCAGAGCCTTGAGCCAAGATTGGTTCGATGGTGAACGTCATCCCAGGTAACATCAGTCCTTTCTCGTTGTTGGCTGCAATGTGAAATATCTGGTTTAGTACCTAACTACGGTCATTGTGACTTCATACCTGTGTGGACAAAGTAGACAGTCATTTACTATATACTGATTGGAACCATTATATGGAATTAAATCAAAATTTATAAAATAAACTACACTACTCTCCTTTTTTTCGTATTGATAGAAAAGTCACAAATAAACACAAAACACGGTTTTAGAAGTTAAATACTTTCAGTGGAATAAATTATAGTTGTAGGCAAGAGTCAATAAAAATTCTCATTTGAATAACTTAAGTACTGGTAAACGGTAAGTACTGAAATATTAATTGATGCTTTCCAGATGTATCATAATACAGCTCAGAACTTTTGGTCGAAATTAAAGATACAAGCAACCATTTTTTTACAAGACAGGATGGTTAATAATTTATAGCCTCTCACTGGAGACTCTATCCACAAAAGCTATCTTGACCGTGGAGTCCTTAACCCCCCTCCCCTGCCCACCCTACAAGTTGCTCGTTTGTTTACTCTAGCGATAAGATGATTCTAGATTATATTACAAGAATAGCAGCTGTTTTCAGAAACATTAATTTTTGGGATAAATACAAAATAACTTATTAATAGTCACATCCTGTGGAGATAAGTGTATGGTTCCCAGAGCTTGAAAACATAGGCTCTGGATATATGAATCTATATAGGTTAGGATTTACAAGTGACTGAACAGAAAAATGTAACCTCCATGGAGGTAACTCCCATGGATAATTACCAGTATATATAATATAGTAGGCCTATATTATATTATATTCAACTTGACCTCTACAAAGGGTGTATATGTATTTAGTTTGTTATTAGTCTTTAAAAATATATTAGAAATATTCTTTCATAAAAAAATAAAAAAAAAAATCTTGGGCGGAAATTCCACTTAGTTTCAGAATGGCGAATTATCTTTTTGTCAGAACTATATTACTTATTGACCACAAAGCTTCATTGCATTATCTACAATGGTTAAAAAACTAAAATGCTATTCCTGGATTTTTTTAGGGCCTTGTACAATCCATTGAATAATTCTTTGTAGTGGTTAACAATTATATTAATTACGTAAGTACACAGAATAATACATTATAAACTTATCTCTAACTTTCAGCTATGACTATAGATAGAGCTATAGTCGTGGACAAGTTAACATGGACCTAGGACCAGGCCTTGTTCAAAGGTGCATCAGTTGGTCTCTTTACTGCCGTAAGACCTACCATACACGTTCAGTTCGGCCTCAAGGTTGGGACTGAAGGGAGAACTGACAGTGTGAGGCGATTCCTTGAGGCAAATCGTTGGCCGGGCAGTCGGATAGGAAACACATGAGGCCCGGCCTCAAGGCAGCTTGGCCTTAAGACAGAACTGTATGTGTATGTGGAATCCCGCAGTCCAAGACACCAATTCTAGTTGTGAACTTCAGATCTTCCAGTGTCTTGCCTGTATCAAAGTATCGGAATGTGTTGCCGTTAACTGTTCGTGAGGCTTCACACATTACCTCATAATTGTGTCTTGCTTGGCAATAAAAAATGCAACTATTATTTATAATTTTAGCTAAGTTAGTTCATCCATTCGTAAATAGTTCTTCCTAACTTTTGAAAACACTGTAGTTTGGCTGAAGTTTGGTTAGTAAACTAACATGAGAATATATTTTTTTCCTTTCAAGCAATGACTTTCCCCGCATGTTTATTTTTCCCTTTATCCCATTTGCTATAACATACACTATAACTGCCATTGCCAAAAGATTTTCAATAGTTGGCACGTTGATCTTAAAAAGTACGCATCAGGCCGGTTTGAAAATACAGTGCGTGTGTGAGGAGAATACGACTCCCGCCAAACTATGCAGTTCTGGCCTTATGGCCAAGCCTTGAGGCCGGGACAGAACGTGTATGGTAGGCCTAAGTTACCACTGAACACAAACTGAAGGAAACTAAAGAATACAATAGCGGCATATAATTTTCTTAGATTACATATAAAAGTAAAAAATGCAATACTATGATTTATCTAAAAATGTGCACTTATTTAAAACAAAATTTCTAATTTGTAAGGTAATCTATTTTTTTCATGTTGTTTCAAAATATAAACGTATATACCATGATTCTTTTTACCAAGTTACAAATACAAACACTAACCGTAATGAAGGACTTCAGGGTAGCCATGGAAATAAGTACCAATACCATGGCCGATGTATTCAGCAACCACTCTCATTCTATTTTTCCTTGCTATGCGGTCAACTGTGTTACCTTAAATGAAAGGAACATTTATTGTTACTGACAAGATTCTGTTGTGGCTCCCTTGCCGAATCTATTATTTCAAATATAATTTAAATGTAGAAGGTACATGTGGAAACAGAGAATTATAATATGAGACCAAAGAATGTTATTTTTTGTAGCACCTCAACTTCAAACAAACTGACATTGCTATGTTCAACTTGACTGATATACGGAATAAGAGCTTTTTTTCAAACAGAGAAGTACTACCATTTGTTGAACTTGAAATTTCTATATTCCCGTTATAGCATTGTAGCTTTGTTCAAAAAACGTTTGTTTCATGTATGTTGTCAGAAGAAAGCCTTTTACATACAGGTAATAACGCATGAGAATGCTTCAATAATAACGTATTCCAAACCATCATGTATTTCAAAGTGTCATTATAATCCGAACACAGTTGTCACCCGATTAGTTCAGACTATACACTTCACAGTAAGAAGTACACTTTTAACAGTATTTACCTATATCGGATATTGGTCTTCCAGGACCACATACTTTGATGGCCTCATTGAGAGATTCCAAGGTAACTCTGGAGAGTTGTTTTCCTTTTTCATCTACATTCCCCACATAAAACATTGCCGAACAATCTCCATGGTAGCCTTTGAAGAAAACCTGCAATCAATTTTGGTTTGAACAACTTATAATAACGAGAGTATTCAATAAATAAAAAAAATGTTATGTATCAACAGATAGGAAGATTTTCTGTATTGAAATTTATATGAACATGATGATGGTAAACTCATTTGAATGCTAGAAGAATGCTTAAAAAATAAACAAATTAACTAAAATTAACAGTTTGTTTGCCAATAACGTTCAATTTACTTTAGTTTTTTGTTGTTGTTTATACAATGTTTAGTCAAATTAAATTATCCTGTCAAATAATGAGTTCTAACCTCATAGTCTCATCACAATCAAGAAGATCAAGACTGTTATGGTCACATGATGATTTTATTCTCTAAACCAGGGGTCTACAGCCTCTTTTACTTAAAGGCGACACACTAAATCTTTGGAGGCAAGGCCATTTATCGTTAGTGACAAAAGATCAGCCAAAAAGTTTAGTGCACCTTATAATTAGACTTTTACAAAGAGGTAGTCAAAGAGGTTAGCAGGGAACAAATTTATAGCTGTGATGAAACACTACTTTACTTTAAATGCTCTCTAGCTAAGTTAGCTGTAAGGCTGCAATATGGTAACCTTGTACACAGTACTAGTGATGTGTCAAAACTGAATGTCAAATCTCAAAACCATCAAAACTTTGGAAAAGTTTCGGTTTCGAGATTCGATCGGCAAGTTTTGAGATTCAAAATTTTTGAAATTTAAAATTTTGGAAGTTCTAGTTTTGAAATTGCTGACAATTTTCGGTATCACTAATTTTGCTCTTAACACTGTTTACACTCGAAGTGGTAGCAATTGAGCAAACAAATAATCAGTAGCACTCGTGTAACAAGGAATATAGAATATGAACTGCAATAGGTATCATACAGTTTTTTAAATACTAATACTGGAACAACGTACTACATATACAGTTTTGTATCGGGATTTACTAAGCCAAATAAATATTTACCGCTAAATGTTTGAATTGATCTAATATATTTATGTAAGTGTAAGGAGTTTAATTTATTTTAGTGTTTGTGATTTATTAAAAGTATATGTTTTTTAGGTTTAGTTTATTAGCGGCATGTTCAAATTATTATTATGTAGGGTCTGGGACCGATTTCTTTCTGTTTCAATTGCATAATAAACATTTTATTACCTTATTTTTTGGAGCCTTGATTGGGCAAATAAAAAAGTTTCGCATGTTTCAGTTTTGAGATTTGAGATTTGATTTTTTAGTTTCGGTTTCGGTTTTGAGATTCGAAATTTCTTGTTTTGACCATCCGACAAAAATACCCTATTAATACTGGATTATACTGGATTATTTTAACACTGGATTTGACAGTATGGTATCGATTTAAAACTGAGAAGATATTTACCATAATGTGTCTTACTGAACTCTTATTTTTCGTCCTGCAAACCCCCATCAGTTATCAAATTGTACAATGAATTTTATTATTTTCTACAAAATACAAATGAACCCAGGCGACTTACTGTGATATCCACATTAACAATGTCTCCATCATGCAGCGGTCTATGGTCTGGTATGCCGTGGCAGACGACATTGTTGACTGATGTACAGATAGACTTGGGAAATCCCTTGTAGTTGAGAGGCGACGGGTAAGCTCCTCTACTGACGGTCAAGTTGTGTACATAATCATCCAACTCATCTGTTGTCATCCCTACCTGGAACATTGCATAAGGAAATAATCAGACATACATGAGCTAAACGTAACAAAGAAATTACCAAACATTAGGGACGACTTGAAGGTTAAGGAACTAAAAAAGTAATTGTTTACTATAATAAAAAGCTTTGGCTGGTAAGGCATTGACTATGGATAGGTACATGTTGGTAGACTAACTGTCGGATATGGATGGACAGAAAATGCTTGATCCGTGTGCCCGTTCATTGTACCAGCGAACTATTAAACACGTCCTACTGCACTGTCTCTATAATAATCTGATTGAAATTTGACATTTGCCAGGACAGGGCCGATTTACCGAATAGGCATGGTAGTCATGTGCCTAGGGCGCAGGCAACTAGCTATTTTGGGTGGCGCCAACAAATTAGAAAATAAACAAATTTGGTGGTTGTATTTGCATGCAATCGCGGTTAGCTTCTGATAATCCTTCGCGGCTGTGTGAATATAATTATCATCTTTCATGATTGCGGCAATATATAAACATATCCAGCGGTTGAGAGGAGATTATCATCACATACCGCGAATGAGGCAAAATTCTGATCTTTCCCCGTGGTTGTGTGTACTTTATCATCGTCTTGCCTGATCGCCGCATAATTCTGATCATCAATCGCGGCCGTGAAGACATAATTATTGTATCTGCCGCAGTCCTGTAGACATCGTAATCCTCTCCCCCGGGCGTGAAGACATTCGCAATTTTCTCCCACGATCGTCTCCCGCCATTGCGGCAAAATGTTATCATACCCCGCAGTCGTGTGAGATCATCATCGTCTTCCACGTCCGCGGCCAAATCATGATCATATCCAGCGGTCGTGTGGACATGATCATCATATTCCATAATCGTGGAAATATTCTGATCATCACTCGCGGGTCTATAGATATTACCATCGCCTTGCCCTATTGCGGCAAAATCATGATCATATCCCGCGGTCGTTTGGACATTATCATCGTCTTACATGATCGCGGCAATATTCTGCTCATCCCCCGCAGATGTGTGTATTATCAGCATACTATCATCTCCCGTGGTTAAGGATACATACCTGTCATGCGCAATGGAAGTAAATTGAAAATTCCAGGTAGAAATACAAAATGTACGCATAATTCCAGGTAAAAAAGAAAACTCACGCATAGTTCCCGGATTTCCCGGTAGGTGGACACCCTGTTATATATATACAAATAACCTATTGCAAAGGGGCGCTACTATAAGTTTTGCCTAGGGCGCTGGTAGAGTCGATAACAGGCCTGTGCCAGGAGCTATTAAGGAAATTGACAGGAAAGCCTACCTTTAAATAAGACAATAGAGACATATTTTTGTGTTGTATATATATGTGTCTCTATGGACTTATTTAAAGGTAAACCTGCCAATGTTTTATTTGGTTTGTTTACGATTCTGTGGGCATTTTCACTCCATGTAACCATGAAATAGGTCCATTAATATTGAGGAAATTCTTTCCAAGGTTATCTATTGGGAATTTCCAAACTCTGTACTTTAATGGTAGCGTATAAGCATCGACTATAGTCATTAGTGATGTGCGTATCGATACAAGGACCGCAAAATATCGATATTTTGTATCGATACGTGGGAGTGTATCGATATGCCCGTATCGATACACCTATAGCCAATATCTTATCGAATATCGTATTGTTTATTTATTAATATAAATCTTATTTTTATGGTAAGAAATTTGTCTTCCCATCTTCCTCCCCTCAAAAGTAGTAGTGGAAATTTGATATTTTACCCTAGCATCTTCAAAAACACTGATAAAACATGTATTTTCAGCTATGTTTTGCAAATAACCTCGAAACTAGGGCCACCATTAATGGAAGTGGGGACCCTCATTGTCCATATTATACTATTTAATGTGTAAGTGGCATACCCACCATCATTATTAGTAATTTTTGGTTAAATTAATTATCCCTGTGTAAAAACTAGGAAAACAATAACAAAATGTTTTCCAATTTGAGGGTTTACCGGAATTTGGAGGTTATGTATGTATGTTTGATACAAATAAAAAGACACAGGAAGGTCTTATAATATAATAAGTTATTAATAACCTATTATAACCCTCTTTAAAAGCTTGTAAGTAACATAGTAATTGTCTGTCCATGCAGCTTGTATATTAAAGATATTTAACTTTTTGTAAAATTATAAATAAACAATACGATACGATATTTTATCCGATACAGATAAAAATCGATACATGAGGATACGATACGATACACGTATCGATACACCACGTTCCGATACGTATCGATACATTGACCCGTATCGCCCATCACTAATAGTCATAAGCCAAACATTGTAGGCTTAAGATCAGCCGCCTACGTAATCTTATAACTGCAGTCACCACTAGCTTGCCGATGTGACTTACACCGTAACAGGACTTCGCTGTCTTTAGAAAACCATACAGAACAGTGGTCTATGATGACAGTGAGTCGAGGTTTTTATAGGAAAAGAAAAAAAAAATGTTTTGACATAGATTTTTCTCTTCCTTTTACAAAAAATATTTTTTTTTTACTATATGCTAGTAAAATATATACAGTAAATGTATTAAATCTAAAAAGTATAGTCCTCAATATATTTTATTTCATTTTAAAGAAGCTAAACAACTGTTAAACTGTGTTATATTAGCCTATGTGAAATTTAAAACTCCAGATAGTATTTAAAGTGTTTGTTAGAGAGAACGATATTGAAGCTACCTCTAATGAACAAAACAGCAAACCCAGAACAAAGGGGAAAATGTTGTCCACTATAGTGGAATTAAAAGACAATGTAAAACTCAACTTAGGAAGGTAATGTAACAAATGTACCAAAATGAGAAAATATGTACTAAATACCAAATTTGGAATTACATTACAGGTTAGGTTTGTTTGAAGTGATAATAGTTGTCTTACTTAATGAACAGCTACATGTTTTACGGTACCTTTATAATGGAGTGGATAGAATCCAGGATTTCTCGGGCCAGCCTACAACTTTGTCGCATTCCATTAATTTGCTCTGTACTCTTGATTTCTGGTGTGGAGGGTCCCATTGTGGGTTGGGCAGTTTTGTAGTACTTTGGGGTAACTACGTTCTTTGGGATTTCTTTCAGTTGAGATGGCTTGTTTGTCTTACTCGGCATGACTAATTCATACTCTCCAAATCTCCTTCTGTAATAAAAAAATATAAATCCATAAAACACATGTATTTGACCTATAAAATAAACTATGTTTCAAATACGTCTTAGTTGAATGTTTTTAAACACTGTAGGATGATGTAATTTTCTAAAAACCTGCCTTAAACCACCAAAAAACAACAGTAAAACTTGGTAGTCTTATATTTGCTAAATTACAAGCAAAGTTTCCTGAATTGTAGGCTAATCACTGTCAACAGATGAACGCTCGCTGCAGCATGTGCATGGCCATTAGTGAAATCTCTAAGTCAGTTAAGTACTATTCTTATATATAAACATTTCCCTCCACACACATCCCTCAACTAAGAATAGAATTCAGCTGGAGTTACCTTCCCACAGAAACTTTAACACAGGACAGATTCTTACTAGGCAGGGACGTCAATTTCCTCTCAGGTAGACTTTCCTTATTGGCTACTACGATGAGATTAGATATTGTATATGAATGGGAACCTGCTAGAATATTATGGAAACTAAGAACAGCTAGCTTTCTTAGCCACAACTAGAGCTCATTGGAGACCTTAAATTTCAGACATCCCTCGTAAATGGTCAGTTCATGTAATCTAGCCTAATTAGAATAAATCTACAACAATAACATTGAGAGAACTGATTATATAACGTTTGGAACCATGGCAGCGATCTCTATATACTAAAGTGCCAAGTGGATTTGAATCCATGTGCTGTCACTTAAAATTGATCACCAGCCTACTTTTTATTCTTGTACTGGTACTGAACCAGCTAATCTCCAACCTTGATGCAAGTCTAATTGGCCAAAAAAATGTTGAGGTATAAATGTTTTTATTTACAGTACCTTCGAAGAAAATTTTGATGCAAATAATATTTCACAATTATTCACTTCTAATTAAAAAAATCTCTTTCCAACCAAATGTTTGATTAAAATTACAAAATAAATAAAAAGATATAAATTTAAAAGCTATCTCCTGACTTACACATTGAACCCTTTCTTGTCATAAACAAAACTAGCGGTTATTGGAGGTGGTGTGAACTGTAAAATATATATTACACTAACAAACAGCTTTAGTATCATACTTGCATCACTAAGATTTTATCAAACAATGATCAAGCCAAACACGAGGGCATTATCAGAACAGATGATCTAAGGGGATATGATCAAATAAGCACAAATAATTTAAGATACCGGTAGCCTATTGGATTAAGCTGAACTTTGAACAAAATCACTCCTTAGTTTTGAATCAAAGTGAAAAATGTTTGGATATTGGTTTATTAAAATGGTTAGATTAAAATAAAATGTAACAATTTTTTCATTTTTAATTGATTAAGTAGTAGGCATATGTTTGATGAATTAAACATTGAAAATGACTGAAAATGTCTCAAAGAATTCGAGATCTATAAATCAATAAAGAATGAGCTACAATATATTTTAAAAGAACAGACCTTTTTCAAATCCAACATTATCTATGATACAGTGATTAGAATAGGACAACAATATCACTGGTATTCCATAGATAACGGGAGAGGGGCAATGATAACTCAGTCAAGACCACACATCTACCCGTGCCGCGTCGTAGTGTGCTGTACTGGCCAGTTATACCCTAAATATTCGTACCATGTGCTTCCGTTTTTTCCCGTTTCATGTAAGTTACGTGTTTTTGTGTTCACCGGCAACCTCAATTTGAGTAAAATTACATTTTTAACTGCCTGATAATGATATTTTAATCTCGAAACCGGTTGCCATAGATGACAATAGGATCACTGACAGACAAGTACCTAGGCCTACCCATTATAAACCATTTAGCCTATTTTATTTGATAAAATAAGTTACTAAAACCCTAAACTTAAGCCTATTCTTGATTCTTTGGAGTGTTTTTGAAAAGTTAGTACCTATATGAAGTTCTCTTGTAGTGATAGTTCCTCTTATACCCCCTGCACTCTATCTGAATTGGTCTTGGCCAAACCTCAGACCAACTATAGACATGCCAGAAGCAAAAGATCCCTGGGCCATTTCGAGCCGTGCATGTTTGAAGGGTACGCCACACCTACCGGTGCGAACCACGTGATCTTTTCGTTTCTGCGCAGGTTGTTTTGTTCTTGGGATGTCTATAGTCCATAACTAAGACAACATTTGATTCTCTTAACTCAAAATTTTTCCTACCACTAGTTTGATAAGTTCTAGGGTCGAACAGACAAAGCTTTGCTTTGACTTCCGTTAATTTAACTATGTAGGCTCAGCACCTATTTTTTGCCTCACTTAACATGTTAGAAATTCTATCAGCTCACTGATCATGGCTGTCATGATAATCCACAGGTGTATTTTAAGACATTCTTGCACGTATACAATCTCGCCATCTTGTATATAATTTTCCTCTCTGTAAACTGGCATCTCGTTGTTGATACGAAAACAATAAATAAATAAGTTAAATGAGGACTAGCCTAGGTACTCAAATTTACCTATCGGTTCAGAAAGTAGGTCTATGTTGAACAGAGCTGTAGGTCTACAGCATTTTATTTGAATCCATCATAGGTGTTGCAGGAAGGGTACGCCACTCCAAACTCGTAACCCCAAGTCAAATTGAGTCTATTGTTAAGAATTTCTCAAACTCCAACAGCACTGACATATATGGAATAAATGTGAACATTCTAAAGAATACACACTGTACACTGTATGTTCAAACCTCTAGCTACAGTGATCAATATATGTCTTAGAGAGGGATCTTTTCCAAGTTTTCTAAAAATAAGCCGAACAGTCCCCGTATTTAAGAAAGGTGACCCGGAAGAACTATCTAATTATAGGCCTATCTCCCTGATACCAATGTACGCTAAGATTATGGAATGCATAGTCAAGGACCAACTGGTTGATTTTTTGAAGGCTAGAATCTTTTCACGAATGATCAACATGGGTTTCAAAAGGGCAGATCAACAACCACTGTGTTGCTAAATCTAACATCAAAAATGAATGATGCTTTTGACAACAAATACCTGACAAACCTAACCCTATGTGACCTCAGCAAGGCGTTCGACTGTATCTCACACGACGTCCTGCTGAGGAAAATGGAAAGATACGGGATAAAGAATATTGCACTAAAAACCTTTCGTGACTATTTGAGAGACAGAAAGCAAGTGGTGTCTATAAGGGGAGCTCTCTCCAGTGACCTGAATGTCAGCTTAGGGGTCCCCCAGGGTTCTATCCTGGGGCCTGTTCTCTTACTGATTTTATCAACGACCTGGGGACTGACGGGAGAACCCTGTTCTTTGCTGATGACACCACCCTCATCACAAGCAATAGTCAATTGGACCAACTCAAACTCGAAGCAGCTTAAATCCTGGACGAGGCAAAAGCCTAGTTTTCAACAAACAAACTCAAAATAAACAATGATAAAACCCAATAACTTATATCAGTGGCATAGGTAGACTCTAGTCAAGGGGGGGGATACCGGGGGGTCTGGAATACCCCCCAGCAAGAAAGGGGGGTCCGGGGTTACCCCCCCCCCGGAAAATTGTAGAAAAATAACTTCTCCAAACACTATTTTTAAGCGTTAGGAAGTGAAATTTGGTGTTAATACTTCATAAAACTTTATGCAATTTTGTACTTATGAAATACACTTTTTGCTTTAATTAAAGGTGGACTAGTTTCTATTAAATTTATTTTTTAAGTACTAATTTAGGCTTTTCGTTATATGATAACATTTAACGTTATGTTTCTCTATCCTTTAACAATGAATATTTTGATTAATATGTTAACGGGGGGTTAAGGGGGTGAGGTAGTTCCTCGGACAGCTAAAGCTGCACTGATATCTGAAACCGAGGACTATTTCTCCCCCAGGGGCATCTATGGTGCTCAAGACCGTCCGAGAAGGCCAGTACAAAAATGAAGTACAGGCCTGTGTAGTCCAATGACTGCACCGTTCACGTCGTGGCCCCTGTCACGCTGATCTCGGCGGATCTAGGCTAGAGTCCTGAATGACTCTCTGGTGGGGGGCAGCAGCACCATCAGAACTGGGTGTTTCGTGCTGGTCTAAGAGAGGCTTGCCTCTCTTAGAGCAGGGCGCCCACCTAGACGTTCAGTCATAGCAATAGCTATGTCTGAGCACTGCGGGCCCTGGGCTAAGGTGTAATGCGACCCGTGCTGAGAGCCTTGCGGCACTGGGGGCCTAATACTCAGTGTCAGAAACGGAGCCTTCTGGGAACCAGGGGGAACCCAGTCGTATGAACCCCTTACCTCTCTAATCGGGTCACTGGGGAGGTGGACCCTATATACCCGGTACTCGTGGGAACAAAATGGATGTCCAAATAAATGTTAGTAAGCAAACTGACAAAAACATAACTGAGGAGCAAGAAAAGTGTGACCAACAGGTCGAAAGCACTTCTATTGCTAGTGTAAATGTAGAAGATCCGACCCTAATGGAGGAGGAAGGCCTACTAAAATCTGATGAAGATGACAAGCTCCCGGAAACTGGAAAGGAACGAAAAAACAAACGACTTTCCAGGGGAGAGTTACGAAGACAAAGGATAGCGGAAGCTCTAGCCAAAGGCGAGAAGGTGCTATCTAGAAGTGAGAGAAGGCTGGCGTGGGCTGCCAAGCACCCGAACTCTGCTCCCGGCGAAGCCGGTTCCTCTGGGAACCAGGATGCTGGGAAAAAGCAGGGTGAGGGCGGCACTCCCAAAGCCGACTCTGTTGAAGCCTCTAGAAGGACGGGTGGAAAGAGGGGGCGAGAGCACCTGACACCTGAGGATGCTGGGGGTGATAAAAAGAAGTCAAGGAGGAAGGAAGGAGAGGGGTCCGGTGTTTCAAAGAGGACATCGGCACCCACATATTCTGAGACATTGTCCGTAGAGAAGATGGCAATCGCCAGAACTGAACACCCGGACAGGAAATTGACAGAGGTTGAAGCCAACAAAATCAAGGGGGAGCTGTCCAGACGGGCCATTCGTGGCAAAGACGTCAGGATAAGCAGCTGCCATCTTGAAGGTGGATGCCTAGTAGTCGGCTGTACTAACACAACCACAAAGGAATGGCTGGTCAAACAGGTTCAGGAGCTGAGCCCCTTTGAGGGCAGCTCGCTAAAGCTTGCCCCAGCCAAAGAACTTGTAAAGGCTGTGAAAGTATCAGTGTTTGTTCCCACCACAACGGGGGCAACAACCAAGAAGGACGTGATGCAGGGCATAAAGCTGCAGAATGACCTTGACACAGACCACTGGGCGGTCGTTGGGGGGAACTCAAACCCTAGCGGACAATTCCTGGTCATAATAATTGACGAAAACTCCCTGCAGAAGCTGAAGTCTCTTGCGATGCGCCCATTCTTGGGCTGCGAGAGGGTAACCTTCAGGTTGCATGGGAGCAAGGATCCCCACAAGTAGAGGATGGTTGCGGTGCTCCAGATAAATCTCCAACACAGCAAGGCGGCTACGGCTACGCTTTGCCAGAAAATTCTTGCCGGCCGCATAGGCGTGGCTCTGATCCAGGAGCCATGGACCGCAGGAGGCAGAATCATGGGGATGAGCACCGCAAAAGGTGAGTTGATATATGATACTGACAGTGACAAACCTAGAGCTTGCATTTTTGTCAGTAGAAATATTAAGACACTGAAAGTCACTAATCTCTGTTCTAGGGATTGTGCCGTGACCGAGGTATACGGGCAGATGGGTGACGGTAACGTCAAAATCCTGCTTGCCTCAGTATACCTGCCATATGACTCCCAGGAACCACCACCGACCAGAGAAATGAGGATGGTGGTCGAATATGGAGCCAGGGAAAGAAAACACCTGCTGTTGGGCTGCGACGCCAATGCCCATCATGTGGCCTGGGGCAGCAGCAATATCAATGAGAGAGGTGAGAGCTTGTTAAGTTTTGTAGCTGAATCTAATTTAGTTATACTTAATAAGGGATCCAAACCAACCTTTAGACAGAGGAGAGGGGTGGTACTAAGGGAAGAGGTTTTGGACATAACCTTGGCCAGTAATTATGCGGCGACAAAGGTTGTAAAATGGGGGGTATCTGATGATCACTCAGCGTCAGATCACAGCTACATTGAATTCACTATAGGTTCGATCTGTGTAAAAGAGACCT